CACCATATTCTCTAGTAGTACATGTATGTGAGTGTGTTTGAGTAAGAATTAACAGAGCAGACCATGTCCAAAGATAAACATTATGCATTTTTGCTTTGCAAGTGTTGTAACTTCTCTAGTTCTTTTTTTTCTTTTCCTTAGTTACTGAATGTTTTTAACATTTTCTTGTAACCGATGATTAGGCTTAAGGAGGTCACAGGTTCGATTCCTGGTAAGACATTGTTTTTGGTCTTTGGTCCTTGAGATGAAACTGTTACATGACTTTCCTCAGTCTATTCTAGATAAGGTGTAAAATGTGTACCTGACTTCAGTTTGGGAGGTAAAATGCAGTGGAAGGAGAGCGAAGGGCCCTGCCTTCCAAAAAGTTAATAGACCCAATATCTGTTAATGTCCCAGTGCCCCTACGGTCTGAAAAAGGCTCAGGGATTACCTTTACCTAAAGGGCCCTGTCCTTGGTGCTGAATTTGGTATCTGACTTTGGTTAGGGAGGTAAAAGGCAGTATAAGAAGAGTGATGGGCTCCACCCTTCAATACCATGCCCTAGACACATTGGATTGACAACCCACTACCCATTTGGCCTCAAAAAGGTATTGGAACTACCTTTACCAGTCCTGGAGAGTCTACGCTGCCAACAGAAGTCTCTGGAAACAGGAACTCTGAAACTGTCTACAGCTGCCATGCTTCTGATATGAAGCCTGCGGACGATTGATTGATTGATTGATTAAATGATTTATTGACCCTTTTTAAACCAACTTGTTTTAATTTATTGTCCCTCCCAGCTCCAGACGACAGCTCCTTGGCCGCACGCCGAATATCGCCGACCCGCTGAGCAAGACTCCGAGCAAGTCTCAGGTACACTTCTAATAGTATTCATTTCAAATGCATAATACAGTACATTAGTGGGGTCGTGTGGCGCAGTCGGTAGCACGTTGAACTCACACCCAACAGGTCGCGGGTTCGAATCCTACCCATGTCACCGATCTTGTGCCCTTGGGAAAGGCACTTTACACGACTTTCTTCACTTAACTCAAGTAAAAATGAGTATTGTCATGAAATGTTGGAATCATTAATGTATAAAAAAAAAACCTACACGATTACAATTTTTACAATTATTATCATCATCATCATCATCATCACCATCATTATTATCATTATCATTATTATCATTATTTCATTTTATGTTGCTGGACTCCAGGAAGAATAGTATGAAGTTAACTTCCATACGAATGGAGATCTCAATAAACAAACAAACAAACAAACTTTCCCCCCAGGTGGACTTCTCTCAGGCACTGCTGCGTGACGGGAGGGGGGCGGCGTTCCTGGTGCAGCCTGCGGCGGGCGTGCTCATGCCCTTCCACACCGTAACCGTGGAGATAACCTCCTACTCCGACATCTGGGGACAGTACAAGGACCACCTCATCTGCAAGGTTGGAACACCAATCAATTACTTTAACCTTGAAGTCAAAGATTTCCTTCTTCCTCCTCTTTCTCCAAGGAAATAAGGTCAACGACCTGGACCAGAAGTCTTGTCACCATGGTAATTTGTGCTGTTATAATAGTAGTGAACACCCTGTGATGTTGGGTCACATTATGTAGCAAGTGGCAGGACACAGTTGGAGGGGCTGATCACTACACACACACACACATACACATATATGATGTGTTTCAGTCAAGATTAAGGCTAGACCATTTTGACTGTATATTACAAACATATGATGAAGACTGTGCGAAATGTTCTGTCACCATCACAGGTGATATAACCTGTGTTCTGTGTGCTCCACCAGGTGAAAGACCTTGCGCCCGTGTCCATCCCCGTTCGCATGACCGTTGTCGGCTGCCCGCTGAACTTCCAGATGACGGCAGCATTCCGTGACCAGCAGCCGGTGGTCCGGTACGGGACGCACGTGTCCGGCGTGGCGCCGATCGCGCGGACCATGCGCGTGAACAACCCGTGCCCCTACGCCATCCGGCTGGACTGGCAGTCGTACAACCACAGACAGCAGGATCCGCAGCTGCTGGACCTGATGGTCAGCTACGGGCAGGACTTCCCACTCAGGGACGCACATGGGGATGAGATCGTTCCTCCAGAGGTAAGGAAACAGGCGTGTTAAACATTCAGCAAGCTAAGGTAGCCATGTGGCAGTCGTACAACCACAGACAGCAGGATCCGCAGCTGCTGGACCTGATGGTCAGCCACGGGCAGGACTTCCCACTCAGGGACGCACACGGGGAGGAGATCATCCCACCAGAGGTACAGAAACTTGACTGTTAAACCTTAAATATGCTGCACCAGTATATAACCATTGCATAACCAGTACAAGTCAGCTACAGGCGGGACTTCCCGCTCAGGGATGCACACGGGGAGGAGATCGTCCCACCAGAGGTATGGAAACATGTTTAACCCTAAATATGCTACACCAATACATAACCTGTACAAATCAGCTACGGGCAGGACTTCCCGATCAGGGACGCACACGGGGAGGAGATTTTTCCTCCTGAGGTGAGGAAACAAGTTTCACCTTCAGTATGTAACACAATGATAATACTGCCTAACACTATAACCAGTACAAGTCAGCTATGGGCAGGACTTCCCACTCAGGGATGCACACGGGGACGAGATCGTTTCTCCAGAGGTACGGAAACAGGCGTGTTTAACGTTCAGCAAGCTAAGGTAGCCATGTGGCACCATGTTTGTATTGGTTATGGGGTTATGTAGCAGTGGGAGGGTTTAGTTAAAATGTAGCAAGGGGTATGGGTGAAAAGAGGGTTGGAAGGAAAACTTTCCTCTGTCCAATGACTTTGTGCACTCTAACAGGAAATAGAGGAAAGCACTGACCTTTACATTATACAGATAATGTGTAATGACTGATGTTGTATCCAACTTCTACATGTTTTGTACATGTATGTCCACCTACATTTCTTTCCAACAGTGAGACCCAATCATCCATGCATGACAGTGTGACGCATCACCCTGTAATCATTGTTGTTAACAGTAAATTGTTGCTGTTGATTTTACCATGTACAATCGTCTGGCAGTGAAGTTCATTGTCTTGACCTTGTGTGATGTCTTACAGGTTAAGGAGTCTCCAAGGAGACCATTTGAGACGCCCGACACCCTCGGCACCACACCTGCTCTGGGGGAAGTAGTAGAGGACGAGCCAACAGACTCACCACAGGAGGAGGCACAGGCGCCGGGGAGAAGGAAGGTCGTCCTGGTTAACCTACGACCCCACGAGGGTCAGAGGGCAAACCAGCCCTATGACATCACCCCCAAGCAGCTGGTGATTCCGGCCCGTAGCCATGGCAACATCAAGGTGACCTTCACGCCGCTGCATAACCAGGATGTGGACACCGGCATCGACTGTAATGCCTTCGCTCTGGGCTTTATGAGTCTGGACAGCAAGGTGGGGACTTGTTATGTTAAATACCTTCTTGCAAATTGTTTTTGGTCCATGGTAACAGAAGACACACTACGGTGTTGGATTATCTCAGCCGTGAATAGTTTCATCAGGTCGGTATTAGACACTGAGTAAAGATACATTTCCCTGTATTCACGCGTGTGTAGATATGTAAATGTTGTACGTTTGGGAAATTCAATGCATCTATAGTGCAATGTGAACCAGTCAGAATTGCCCTGAGGAAGGTGACAGACGGTCACCAAAACATCAGCTGAATAAAAGACTTGATTGTGAAACAAGAATCTCTTTACTCAGTGTTAGGTTATATTATGTAGCAAGTGGCAGGACGCTGGAAGGGCTGGTCATCATAATAATATAATGTGTTTGAGTAAGAATAAACAGAGCAGTAGTTTGTTATGTAAAATAATGCTTTTGCAGGATAAAAACAGTGATCTATTTTTACATCCTGTAACAAATTTGTATATACATTGTTGCCATGGTAACATGATGCTGTCTGCCCGCAGGTTGCACTGAGCGTGCCCAGTAAGGTGTCGCGAGTCCAGGGGTATCAGATGACGCCGCTGCGTCTGGAGATGACGGCCCACGTGAAACCGGCGCAGCTGACCCTTGAACCCGCGGACGAGGAGGGGATGGTGTACTACACGGCAGCCAGCGACCTCATGCAGCAAGGACAGGTCAGGGTCAGGGCAAGGGTTAGGGGTTAGAGGTTAGGGTTAGTCTTACAGAGGAGGGGATGGTGTACTACATGGCAGCCAGCGACCTCATGCAGCAAGGACAGGTCAGGGCAAGGGTTAGGGGTTAGAGTTAGTATTACAGAGGAGGGTCAGGGCAAGGGTTAGGGGTTAGAGTTAGTATTACAGAGGTCAGGGCAAGGGTTAGGGGTTAGTCCTGCAGCCAGTGACTGCATGCAGCAAGGACAGGTCAGTGTCAGGGCAAGGGTTAGGGGTTAGAGTTAGTCTTTGAGTCCCCAGTGCTATTTGATTGTAACGAATTTCTCTCCGTATATACATGTACTTACTGTCACTCCTCCGATGCTTAGCTGTCGTCAGAATTCCTGAAGACGACGTCGTGCACGGTGACGAACAAGACGGAGACGCCGCTGCAGTTCCGCCTGGTCACGACCCCGCCCTTCCTGCTCACCGGGGTCGAGGTCGCGGGGGTCAGGGGTCGCGCCTTCGCTCGCACCCAGGCCAGCGGCTTCTACACACTCAACCCCAGGCAGAACATGAAGGTAAGGTCATCACTTGCATCTTTGACCTTGGAACTTTGTTGCAGGACACCCTTTGACCTTTGTTGTAGGTCATCCCTTTTACCTCTGACCTACATGTAACTGACTTGACTGTTATGCTTACTTAGTTTATGGATAGAATGTAGGTAGTTTAGTTTGTGTTTATTCTTTTCAAGTATTTTAAATGCATATCCATATGGATATGTGCCACAAGCCTGGGACAAACAGATGAACAATGTTGTGTCATATCATATCATGAAAGTTCATCTGTGTTGGTAGTTACATGTTTCAGGTTAAAACATTTGTTTCAACACAAATATTAATAAATCTTGAATAAACTTGAACTTGAAACAAAGAAATTCTGTCACCAAGTAATTTCGACCAGATACTCTGGTCTTTCTCATGTGTAAAGACCCAGTGAAGCTTGTCACGTGGCTTCTTTGAAATCAACACTGGGTCAAAGGTATCTGGTTTCACTGGGTCAGTCAACTGACAGAGGAAGACCAAAGTAACTACTTGAAAGCTCTAGGTGAGAGAAATTCTTTTATTAGAACAAAAGTTTTAACGTTGTATGATTGTGTTAGGTGAGCCTGGCATTCCGAGTGAGCATGGACCTGGTGCAGCTGGTGGATAAACTGGCGGGCTGGCGCGAGGGAGACAAGATGTGGCTGACTCATCACGGCGGGGAGAGGCGGCTACACTTCACACAGAACATGGTCATCGAGTTTAACAACGGGACAACACAGGTTAGTACGCACACACACATGCATGCAGACACACAGTCACGCACACACACACACACGCATACACACCCAAACACACACACACAGAACATGGTCATCGAGTTTAACAACGGGACAACACAGGTTAGTCTTACACATGCACACACACACACAGGGACATACACACACACACACTCACACACAGTACAGCAGGGAGAGGAGGCTGCACTTCACACAGAACATGGTCATCGAGTTTAACAATGGGACAACACAGGTTAGTACGCACACACACATGCATGCAGACACACAGTCACGCACACACACACACACGCATACACACCCAAACACACACACACAGAACATGGTCATTGAGTTTAACAACGGCATGACACAGGTTAGTCCACGCGCACACAAACACACACACACACACACACAGAGAACATGGTCATCGAGTTTAACAATGGGACAGCACAGGTTAGTATTATACAGACATACACACACACACAGAGTACGGCAGGGAGAGGAGGCTGCACTTCACACAGAACATGGTCATCGAGTTTAACAATGGGACAACTCAGGTAAATACACACACACCTGCACGCAGACACACGTACGCACACATATAATACTATTACACACTTACAGCAGGGTGGGGAGAGGAGGCTGCACACACATGCACGCAGGTACACACACACACACTGACAGAAGACACCATATATTGCAAGGCAGTTCTATCTAATGTAATAATATATTGACTACTGACATTTATCTAATACAATTGTCATGTTGTGTCACAAGAAAACAGTTACTCAAGCAACTGGATAGATTTTGAAAACTGCCAGTTATTCCACTGACGAAAGATAGTGGATGCTAATTGACAGTTTTGAAAATCTATCTAGTAACATCCGTGTCCATAATATCACCAGGGTCCATAATATCGCCACCTTGAGAAAAAGTGTGCTTAAAGATATTTCTACTGCAACATACTTTTGGTATGCACTCCTGCACACCTCAAATGTACATACCTAGGGTATGTTGCAGTAAAAATATCTTTAAGCACACTACAATTTATTTCTCAAGGTGGCGATATTATGGACAGTTACTAATTAGTAACTGTTTTCCTGGAACTCATTACCTGGAACTTATTACCTGGATGTGTGACCTTCATGGACGTAACCTGATCCCCCCAGAACCTGCCCCTGCGAGCGAGCCTGGTGGTCCCCTCCATCAGCCTGTCCACGGAGGCGGTGGACTTCGGGGTGTGCATGGTGGAGCAGGAGCGGGAGATGGACATCCTCATTGCCAACCCCACAGCTTCAGACTGCTACTGGACAGCCACCATCGGTACACACGCTTCCTCAAGTTTTTTTTCTCTCTCAGGCCTCACCAATTCAATTTGTTGGTTGTCAGATTTTTTCATTAAAAATATGAAGAGAGCTTAGTCATTTAAAAGCTTAGTCTTCATTTCATAATGAAGCAACAGGGCGAAAAAAAAGGTATATATATAGGTCTAGGCATCCTATTATAGCCCTAAATGCAACGATAGAAGCAATGACATGATGTCAAGACAAAAGAATGGGTTAATATTTAAACAATGAATGCATTGATAGATGGAAAAACTGTAGGAACTAGGAAGAAAGGACTTTCCTCAACTGTTGGGGGCAAAACCAGAATCTTTTTTTTTTTGCAAATTAGAAAAAAATGAAGAGGCGATTCCGAGAACCAACAAATTAAATTGTTGTGGCCTCACCGTCCCTTTTACTCACAGTATTACAGTCAAACCTATCTACCGGTATGTAGGGAACACTCAGAAGAAAGAGTGGGAAATATCATCTATTAAGTTAAACCCTAACTGGACAGCCACCATCTGTACACACGCTTTGCTATGTCCAGTTGTATCTTAAATTTATTGTTTGTATGTCACTTTAAATTATATACTCTTGTTTATTTATGTATGATGTAGGGCCCCACTGAAAATGAGTGTTAACCACTAAGTGAGCACTCTTGGATAGAAATAACAGAAAGTAGAAAAATGAAAATAAAAACAAAATTTAATAGAACTCACGGTGCTTTATCCAGAACCATGAGGCATGGTTCTGAATAGCCCATGCGTATCCAGATCCATACTTTATTCAGAGCCGTGCTTAGGGGAAAATCTAATAGTATATTCTTGGATAATGCTTTGCACCATGGTTGTTGTTTGCTGTGAAAACTTGAAAGTCAGATGCATTTAAAATTTATCTAAGACTCAAATTCAAAGTGACTAGCTGTTTGAAGATGTGACAACATTCCTTAAGCTTTCTGTAACTTGATTTTCCTCTCCTTTGTCCTTCAGAAAGCAGAGATGACGACCAGGCGTTCCAGGTGATGCCAGCTAGTGGCCTGTTGCAGGGAGCGCTCTCTCACATCGCACAGAACAAGGCTCTACTCAAACTCAACTTTACCGCACGGTGAGTCCCTGTTGTATGCAGAACTGAGTTCTTATAATCTGTTCTCACCAGAATCTGTATCCAGAATCATGCACGGGGCAAATCTTATGACCATGTTCTTGAATCATGTCTGATCCTAACCCTAACCAATTCGGGTATACCCCAGTAGAACTATAGATAGGCATGGTTCTGAATACTCTCTCTCTCTCTAGATCTAGACCTCTTTGCCAGTCTGTCTCTCTTTGTTTTACATCACAGTGCATGTCTCTCCTTTCTCTCTAGATCTTTCTCCCTCTGTTTCTCTCTCATATTCTCCATCCATTTTGACTTTGTTAGATTGCATTTTTACATCATATTGATATATTTATTTGAACTTTGTCTTTTTACAGACACAGCAAGGCCTTCGAGTGTGTCATCATCTTCCAAGGGGTGCTGGGAGAGGAGGTCAGGAGGTTACAGGTCAAGGGTCATGGGTCATATGACGGCAGGCACGAGGCCATCATGGACATCTGAATTCTCTCCAGTCTTAAACTTGTACAGTTTTGTTAATCGTGGATTTCATTTTTTGTGTTCGTGGAAGATTTTAACCTTTCTTCCAGTCTAAACGAGCAAAAGGATGATGCTTACATTGCATATAATTGTGAATGTACATATTATGATAAGTAGGCAGCGTATGGTCTGGTGCTGGGTGATTATTTCCTACTCAAGATTGTTCTAGATGTAACTGAGCAGGGGAGGGGGGATTAGGTTGCAGCTTGGAGGTCAATGGCAGTGTTCTAAACCAGTTAACAGATGATATGAATGGAACTAATGTTTGATTTGAAGTGTATTTTTTTGAGAATTGACGATTTGTGACAGAGCAAAGTTTGTATTACCCGGTACATTTTTTTTCTGTGAGACATTATTAGTTCTGAAGGCCAAGGACATTAAGACGGCTAAATGTTTCAAAACCATCATGTCATGCTACTCCAGTGGTTTGCTTTACTATTCCAATGGAACTGTACATACTTGAGATTGATTATTTCCAAGTCTTTGCGGGTTTGTATATTAGGAACTTGTATAGAATTTACAGGTGTACATATTGTATGACTTTTCACTGTTACTATGATCGAGACCTGAAAGTTTCAGGTTGCCTTGGACGCAGTGTATATGCATTAAACTTTGTTGTGAGACCTTTTGGTCTTAGCCTCAGTTGGTTATTACAACGTGCTTCCTTAGGCCACACCAATTCAATTTCTTCAGTTATTCCATCTTTCAATGCGATGGTATCATTAAAACCTCAAAATTCATTGTTTAAATTTTGAACCAGCCTGGTGTATTGACTTCAAGGCTCCTATCGTACCATTTTGGGCCATAATAGGATGCCTAGGCCTGTTTTTATTTTTTTTCGCCCACTCCATCCATTTTTTTCATAGAAAAATCCGTTAACCAAGAAATTAAGATGGTGTGGCCTTAGGATGAGTCAGAATAACATTAAGCCTCTGGACTAGGAGGTTGTGAGTTTGAATCTGTTGAGCTGTTGTGGCTCAATCAGGTTGCACACCATTGGAAAGGGTAACACAATTGTCTACTATATATACAAAACTGGTGTTATGCCTAAGGCCATGTTGATTTGATTATATGGATGACATTCGCGCGCGCATGAATTTTTGGCCGTTTCCAAAAAAAAAAAAAGATTTCAACCATACTGTAAATCGTGCAAAACAGTTGCTAAATGAGCAAAAATATACCATAAGTTGCAAGGAAAACATTTGGAAACGATACCAATGTCGTAGAATGCCAAAATCAAAGGAAAAAAGACAAAAATGTAGGGAAATGAATTCGAAGGGTAGATTATTCGCCATAACATATTCTGTGCCATTTGTTCAACCTTCATGACCACGTAGATTTCATAGTGAAAGAAACTTTTTTTTTTGCAAAACTTTTTTTTTTATTCGCACGCGCCCATCAGTTTTGGGGTTCCCAGAGGATGTCATCCATATAATC